TGTTTGATTACAGAGAGACAGGGTGGTACGAGTTGAATCATAAAAAGCTAATGTTAGTTGGGAGAGGGAAGAGAAAAACAATGGTACGAGTGGGTAAGAGAGGGAGAGAGACGCAAAAGATTTTAAAGCTCAAAGTGAATCCCGTAAATTTCAAGTACAATTTGAATTTTTGGGGATTCAAATATTTGGAGGTTATTTTAATAGAAAATATCTTTGTACGCTTTATTTTTAGGTTTTATTTTTTAATAGACCCAAAGCTTTAAAACCTATCTTAAAACCCCTAGAATAACTTTATCTATTTGAAACTTTTTTTTGGTCCAAACAAACATAAGAAAGATATGCCTTTACTAAACCATTCTCTCTCCTCCACTTATATTCTCCAAACTTCTCTCTTTCTCTCTCTCCTATGTGATTTCCCAAACCCCTTCTCTCTTTCTCCCCTATGACTCTCCAAACCCCTTCTCTCTCTCCTTACTTTCTCCCCCACTCTCTCTCTCTCTTCGTGTTTCCCAATCTCTCTCTCTCTCACTGTATTTCCAAGTAAGCTTATCCTCAATGCTATCCTCCCGATACTGATTTTTACCACTAATTTGCGTCTCTCTAAGTGATGGGAAATGAAATAGAGAGCTCCTTCCAAAATAGAGGTGCTAAAGACATGATTTTCCACTTGCTTTTCTTCACTAAAAAAGCCATCATCATTGGTTTTGGGTTGAGGACCATCACAGTGACAATCAAGCACTCGCCCATTGTTGATAGCATCATACTCAAAAGCTAATACAATCGATTCAAATTTTAGTTTAGTAGAATCTGTCTATTCTGGCAATCCAGTAAGTTCATCGTCATTTCTACCTTGGTTGTCTAGAACACCCGTCTTAACCATCAAAGAGACCAGAACCATTTGGAAGTAGAGTATTAAACTTGAAGCAACTCCCAAAGAGTCATCACTCATCAGTGTTATCAATGTTATTAGGAGCCTTTCTCTCAATGGAAACATCACGTCCAATACCTTGATGCACCCTCACCAATATCTCTTTAGATGAGTTATGTTAACACGTATGGCCATAAGGCATAGCGACTTTGCTTACAATTGTGAGTTGGGAGGCCTACAATTGTGAGAGAAATCCTATACTTATCACATCCAACATTTACATGAACCAACATCCATATGAACGTTGGATGAATGTTCCTAAGATCAGAGAAGACCCTTTCTCAGAGACCCGTTAGAAAGATAACCGTTAAGTCATTTTCTTCTACTTATAAAATGAGAAGCCAGAGAGAGAAAAAACGTACTAAAAAAGAAAGATATACAGAATTTCAACTGTAAACACATAAGTCATCTTCTCTCTCTCAAAAGGGTAACAAAAATCCGGGCTCTGCGATCACCAGGCTCATGGAATTTTCTCTGATCTCGGGTTGGTATCATAAGCGCGTCATCAATTTCCACTTTCACTGGTATCAGAACGTGGTTGTTATGATGATTTTGGTGCTATTGTGATTTTCTCGATCTCAATTCGGCTTTTGTTTGCTACCATGTGCCTGAGCTCTCTCTCTGTACAAATATTGACCACATATTAACTTTATGGTGTTTTCTTTCGCTTCTTTAGAACTTAGAAAGAATTAGTTTGCTCATACAAAACTTAACAAATGGCCAGTAGAATTGTAATGGCTGAACTTTCCAAAATTGAAAAATTGAATGGAAATAATTTTGGGATATGGAAGAAGAAGATGAAATATTTTCTCATTCAAGATCCACCAGAAGTTGGTAATAAACCAATTGAAAAAGAAAGAAAAGACTAGAAATTTTTTTAAAAGATGACCTCATAGCAAAAACATTTATGTTAACTTTTATGCAAGATGACCTTATTAAGGTTTTCGAGTATCATGAAACATCTAAGAAAATGCTAAAGGCAATAAAAACTAAATATGACTCAAGTGCTAAAACACACATCCAATTGCTATTAGAGCAATATAATTCATTTAATATGAAGGAGGATAATAATGTAGTCCAAGGGTGCATGCAAGTTCCACTATCTTAAATAGTCTTCCACCTTCATGGAGGATGGTAACAATTACACTTAGGTTGAATGCAAACTCTCTTACATTAAGGGATCTACCTATACAACTAGCTTTAGAGCAAGAGCACATAAACAAAGATAAAAGGAGTGAACTCATGCTTGCTCAACACAAGCCTGACAACCAAAATTTCAAGGGAAGTTTAACAAGAGAAGCGATAGGTTCAAAAACAAAGGAACTAAGCTCTACAACCAAGAAACTAAACGTGGATCGCCAAAATGCTTCTTATGTGGTCAGCCAGGTCACTTTAAGAACCGCTGCCCACATAATAGAAACCTACAAAATCTAAAGAATAGCAGGAATGAAAGCTAGCAGAAATGGAAGCAAGAGGTGTGAAGTTGTTTGTGTGGTCTCTGAGTGCCTGCTGACAGACCACAACATCAAAGGATGGTGTGTGGACTTAGGCGCTAATCGACACTCGCAAGTTCAAAAGGTATCTTTGAGGACTTAAAAGAAATAAAGGCAGGGGAGAAGCGAATCTATATGTAGAACAATACCTATTTTGATGTATTAGGTGTAGGAACTTGTAGGTTGTATGTAGGGATAATCGATCTTGTATTAACTAATGTATATTTTACCCCTTGTATGAGATGAAATATTGTATCTGTCCCCTTGCTTATAAGAAAGGGCTTTAAAATCTGCTTCCGATCATTGAAAGTATAAATTGGAAAGTGTGGATAAATTGATGCTCGGGGACACTTAGTTAATGACCACAACTTATTCCTTCTTCATGTAAATGAGAAAGTTGATAGTAAACTTTCATCTTATTATGGTTATATTGATTGTGTAATGGTTGGTGATGCATGTACTTGGCATCATAGGCTTGGCCACATAGGAAAAGACAAAATAAATAGGTTAATAAAATGGAGTCTTATTCCAAATCTAACTAAGATGGAATTTCCAGCCTGTAAGCACTGCTTGTCAGGAAAAATGACTAGAAAATCATTCAATAAAGGGGAGAGAGATAGTGAGTTGTTGAATGTGGTCCACTCAAATATTTGTGGGCCCCTCAATGCTAAAACTCATGGAGGGATGTCATACTTCATCACCTTCATTGATGATTTTTCTAGATTTGGATATATTTATCTAATTCACCATAAATCATAAGTTGTAGAAAATTTTAAAAGATATAAAAGGGAAGTAGAAAATCAATTGGGTAGGAACATCAAAGTTCTTAAAACTGATAGGGGAGGTGAATATACATCTGAAGCTTTGAATGCTTATTGCCAATAATATGATATTAAAATATTATCATTATGCCTTATATGCCACAACAAAATGGAATAGCTGAAAGGCGTAATAGAACCCTCTTAGAAATGATTAGATCCATGATGACTCATGTTAATCTACCCAAGACCTTTTGGGGAGAAGCAATAAACACATCCATGTATATTCTTAATAGGGTTCCAACTAAGGCAATAGATTCTACCCCTTATGAACTGTGGATAAGCAAAAAACTTGATTTATCCAACTTATAGAAGTAAGGGATGACTGCCCATATCCTAATTCCATATCAACATAAACATAAGTTAGAAAACAAAACTCTAATTTGTAATTTTATAAGATACCTCGAAGGATAAAAATGATATTGATTTTATCATAAAGATAAGGGACTCATTGAACGTAGAGATGATGAGTTCCTAGAAGATTTTATTGAAAAAAACCTACCTAAAGTGGACAATGATAACCCACTTAATATCATATATGACTTAGAACCACTACCTACAGTGGATATAGATAGCCTTAATCAACATGATGATGTTGAAGTACCCGCACTCCAAATGTTAAGTGGTCAAAAGAGGTCTAGAGCTCCTCCATCATACCTTAATGATTTCTATGTCTATATGAGTGAGGATACAACTAACCCTACTGACTTAGATGAAATTCATAACTCTTTTGACTTCAATGATGCTATGAAGTTACAATAATCTCAAGAATGGCTCAATGCCATGAAAGAGAAATTGGATTCTATTGAGAAAAATAAAGTTAGGGATTTATGTGATTTACCATCAGATAGGAAACCTATAGGTTTTAAATAGGTACTTAAAAAGAAATTAAAATCTGATGGATCAGTCGATAAATTTAAAAGGCTTTACCCAAATAAAGGGAGCCGACAATGTTGACATGTATTCCCCAGTTGCAACGTTTATATCTATTAGAATAATTTTGGCAATCGTTGCATACTATGACCTATAGCGTTACCAAATGGATGTAAAGACTGCATTCTTGAATAGTGAACTAAAGGAAACTATCTATATGAAACAACCTCAGGGCTTCATAATTAAAGTTCAAGAAAATAAAGTATACAAATTAAATAAATCTTTATATGATTTAAAACAATCTTCAAGACAATGGTACTTAACATTTCATGATGCCATCCTGCAGATGGGATATGAACTAAATAGATTGGACCATTGTGTGTATGTCTTGAAGAGTTGGAGTAAATTCACAATACTCTCATTATATGTAGATGATATCCTGATAGCTGGAAATGACTTAAAAATGATTGATAAAACTAAGTCATGACTTTCTTCTCGGTTTGAGATGAAAGATATGGTAGAAGCATCTTATGTCCTATGCATAAAAATAACTAGAGATAGAAAATCAAATATGTTGTGCTTGAGCCAAGAGGGATATCTTGACTCTATCCGTAAAAGATTTCAAATGGAAAATTATAAATTGTTGTTTACTCCTGTTGTAAAGAGAGTAACGTTGTCTAGGAAAGATTGTCCAATAGAAGGACAAGAAAAACCTAATGTTCCCTATACACAAGCTATTGGTAGCTTGGTATATGCAGTCAGATATACAAGACCAGATTTGAGTTATGCCGTAGGCCTTGTTAGTGGATGTCAAAGTAATCCAGGCATAGCTCAGTAAAAAGAATTTTGTGGTACATTAAGGGAACAAAGCATCTAAAATTATGTTTTCAAGCCAATAAGTATGACGTTGTAGGATATTCAGATGCGGATTTTGCTGGGCATAAGGATGATAGTAAGTCCACATCAGGACATATTTTTCTCTTTGGAGGGGCTGTTGTTTCTTGGTCTAGCAAGAAACAAGGGTGTGTAGCTAGCACTGCTTGTACTTTCGCCTTGTAGATAAAGCGCTTCATAGATTACTTGAAGCTGTAAATAATCGACGGACCGATCCAAATATTTTGTGATAATCAAGCTATAATTAAATTAATTCAAAGTGGAACAAATACCTCCAAAGGAAGACATATAGATGTTCAATATTACCACATTCAGGATGTAGTTGAGAAATTTAAAATAACCGTTAGTTACTTGCCCTCATCAGATATGATCGTTGATCCATTAACAAAAGGTCTGAGTGTTGAATTACTGTCTAAGCACACTAGCTTAATGTGACTTAAAAATATTTAAGTCAGTCAATTTTCATGAGTGGCAAATCTGCATTAACGTGAAAATCCTCATGATGGATATTTGTTATGAGAGACATATCTGCAAAAAAGTTAGAAAAACCTCATGACAAAATTTTTTCTTAAAGGTCATACTCAAAAGTGGGAGTATGCATGCGACTTATTATTACACTCGGCCGTCATGGCCAAGTAGGAGATGTTATCACGTATGACCATAAGGCCTAGCGTGACTTTTGCCTACAATTGTGGGCTGAGATGCCTACAATTGTGGAATGAATCTTATGCTTATCACATCCAACGTTCACATGAACCAACGTCTATATGAACGTTGGATGAATGTCCTAAAATCAAGAAAGACCATTTCTCAAAGACCCGTCGGAAAGATAATCGTTAAGCCCATTTTTCTCCCTATAAAATGGGAAGCCAGAGAGAGGAAGAACGCAGCAAGAAATAAAGATATGTAGAGTTTCATCTGTAAACACATAACTCATCTTCTCTCTCTCAAAAGGGCAAGAAAAATCTGAGCTCTGCAATCATCAACCTTACGACATTTTCTCTAATCTCGGGTTGGTATCATACGATTTCCACTTTCAATGCCAATCATTTTTCCTCTGGATATATCTTCCAGAGCAACCTCTTCTTCAACATCAGATGCAACAAAAGCCAATGGATCAATTGGCTCAGTCCTAGTAATCTCTGGAACTTCAATAAAAGTTCCCTTTCCTATACATGTCAAATAGTTTACCTCTAGGATAACAAAAGGTCGGCTGATAAAACACTCTTTCCATGCCCAACATCATTCATTTCTATAGGTGTGGCACCAATAGGATTTTTGAAAAGGAAGACCCAATGTATTGCATGGTCATTATTGAAGTTCACCTGCCCTTGACCAGGAGAAAACCCCAGATTTAAAACTCTTTCTCCTCTACGAACATCACTGTTCACCATCGACCCTGCCTGATGAGCTTTGAGACTGTCGGCTCAAGGGGTTTAGGGGAATACAGGAGAGAGAGAGAGAGGTTGGGTAAACATGGGGAAAGAGAGGGGGGGTGGGGAAGGTGGAGAGAGAGAGAAGGGGTTTGGGGAGAGTGATGTGGGAGAGAAGCCTGGGGAAGTAAGGATGGGGTTTAGAAAGAGTATCTTTTTCATATTAGTTTGGGTTAAAAAAATAAAATAAAAGTATGTAAATAAAACTTAAGATTTTTATGTTGAAAGATAGGTTTTGAAACTGTGGGTCTATTGAAAAATGAATCCTACAAATAAGAGGTGTGAAGATATTTTTTTATTATTTTAATATAAAAAGATCTAATTTGGTCCTATCAAATAGGGAATATTAACTTGTAAAATTCGAATTACAATAAATTCCACATTATCCTAAAATATTAGGATATTAGGGAGCTGTCAAACATACCCTATACAACAAATGATATATATCTAAGAAAATTGGACATCAAACCACACTCATATCTAAATTTAGCTTTTTGGGAAAAAAAAGAAGAGAGGTTATCTTTGTTATAAAGAGATCACAATTACTCTTAGCCATTAGATATCAAATTGGATGGCTTGGAGTATATCACAAAGTTCGAGAATTTTTTTTGAACTTTAATTTTTGTCAATGATATACTCACAGCCACCTAATTTGAAATCTGACGGACAAGAATGACTATGACCTCCTAATAGTAAAAGTAAATGTTCTCTTTGTATACTATAAGACCATTTACATAATTCCTCGCCATTAAATGTCAAATTGTATGAGTTGAGTTGTCACATGGGTTCCAAAAACTAAAAAGATTTAGAAACAAACCTATTTTGTGAGAGATTTTTCATATGATTATAATTTTGAGGGGATATTAGCACAAAAATTTATACATAGGGAAATGAATAAAATAAGATTATCTCTTTTTTTAAACACGAATAATGAGATTATCTTTCTTGGCGAATCGTTGCTTGAAATTATTTTCACATCAAATAAGGCAATCAAAGTTTTCAAAATCAAGGCCTTGATTTAAACCATCGTTTTATATATCCGATCATGGACCCAATCTATATACCAAAAATCCCGGTGTGGTTGGCAAGCCAGATCGTTATATACACAACTTGTGTATTATATACTGCGTAAACTTGTTAATTACACTGCCCCAGTTAGGAACCTAGGTTGAATGGCCATTTACGGAATTCTTTTTTTCATCTTTCTGCGCCAAAAGATATACTGCTCCCTTGGGCGCATATTGTCCATTTGTTTCCTCAAGTAAATCTTAAGTTAGGCCCATTTTTGGGTCTTAAATTTAGGTATATAACTTCTTGAGCTGTAGAATAAGTGTAATTGAGATGAAGATGTTTAAATGGATGAGTGGAAAGAAAAGAAGAGATATAATTCGAAATGAAGAGATTAAGAAAACTTAGGTGGGGCTCAAAGAGAAAACATGGTGGCCTATAAACCTATTTCAATACTAGTTAGACTGTGGAGTGGGTTAAGTAGAAGGCTAAAAAATAGAATGTAGTGAGAAAAGATAGGAGGGACTTATAGCTTCAGATATAGCATAATAACACACTAGAATGCATACAACGGATTCTAAATAGTTGAAAAAAAAGTTTTAATAATGATGATGATAATGAACCTATTGAGCAAAGTCCTCAAAAAAGGAAAAATTCCAAATCGCATATTATATATGCCTAAATAAGAAATCCAGCCAATGAACAAAAAAATCTAATTTTTGATGGGCAAGATCTAGATTTTTGTTTTTCTTTGAAAATATCCATCTATTTATTTCTAATTCGATCTCAAAAATCAAATAAATAAAAAAAATTTCCAAGATATCTCTTTACCTAAGGTAAGTTATCTACAATATGTTTCAGCGGGAGTATGTTATTCATTCCATATGAATGTCTCTACAATTTATCAGAGAAGCTGCATGATTTTAAACCGTGTCCTAGGATCAAAACCCAAGCCCTTATTTTAATGGAAAACACCAAACTTGTCCAAGAAGCCAATCTCTCTCTTTCTCAATTAAAGGAACTTTGCACAATTTGATCAAGCCCCATTAAAGACTTACTCACCGAGTAAACGATTGACACTCCTTTAACCCCCCAAATTTCACAATTATTCTCCTTTCCAATTTTGAACTCTCTCTCTCTCTCTCTCTCTCTCTCTCTCTC